CTTGAATAAATGCACTTATTGCTAGTAGTTTGATTTCTTTGGATTTTGCATGTGCAGTCGTGTTTGTAGCAAATAAAGACGGTTGTGCTGTTTTCTGGTCAATATTGGTGACTTTATTTTTCTCATCGCCAGTTCTGTCTCCACTACAGTGCTGAGTAGAAGTAGAGGGAACTTCTTTGCAAACCTGCAAGGGAAAAGCGTTTGATAATTTATCATTAAAGACTTTGACTCTATTTTTTTATTTCCTTTATCAGATTGAGGAAATTCCCCCCAACTTCCTAAGAGTTTTTTGGTTTTTTTGTGTTTTGTTTTTTTTCATTATAAGTAGCCGTTGAATTTTATCAGATGCATTTCCTACATCTGCAGAAATGATTTGTGGCATTTCTAGTTTGGTTCTGTTTATGTGGTACATACGCAGTAATCAATTTCTGATGACAAATGAATTTTACATTCCTGGGGTAAACTTCACTTTATTATGATATTTTTTCCATTTTCATCGATTTCTGGATTTACTTTGCCAATATATTTAAGATTTTTTGCACCCGTATCACTAAAGGTATTGGTGTATATAGTTTTGTAACGTTGTTGTCAGGTTTTAATATCAGGACTGTAAAACAAGTTAGGAAGTGTTCCCTCACTTCTTTATTCTCTGAAGGAATCTGCGTGAAACCACTGTTATTTCTTCTTTAGAAATCTCCATGCATCAGCAAAGCCAGATAGGCCTGAAGTTTCTTTGTTGGAAGGTTTTTGTTGTTTTAGTTTTCTTTTTAAGTTCTGACGTTAATTTCCTTAACAGATATAGAACTATTCAGATTTTATTTCTCTACTCCAGTGTTGAAAGGTTACATTTTCAAGGAACTCATTTCCTTTAGTTGTTGAATTTACTAGCACAGAGTTCTATTCCTTTTTAGCCTTTTATGTCTGTGTTCTGTGTTGATTGATGTTTCCTCTTTCATACCTAGTAATTTGAGTTTTCTTTCTTTTTCTTGATGAATTTTGCCTTGGGGTGTATTGATTTTATAAGTTTTCAAAGAACTAACTTTTGTTTTTATTGACTTTTCTTTAATGTTAATTTTCACTTTCTATGTCATTGTTTTAGGGTTTTATTTCCTTCATCTTACTCTGTCTTTAATTTGCTGTTCTTTTTCTAGCTTCTTGTAGCAGAAACTAAGATGATTTGTTTTAAGCATATCTTGTTTCTGATATACATTTAAAACTATAAATGTTCCTCTAAGCACAGCTTGTGCTGCATTCTGCAGAATTGATAATATGTGTGTTTTATTACATCATAAAAATTGGTTTTATTCCTTTGAGATGTACAAAGCCTGAAACCATATGAATGTATCATCCTTAGGAAACACGTTTAAAGTGCACTGCACAACAGTAGACACAACTTATCTAATAGCTCTCCTTTTATAGTTACAGTAAGTTAAGGGGGAGGGTAATTGGCAAGGTAAAAAGTAATATTTTTATTGATGATATGTACTTAGTTACTCAGTTTTAAATGAGTATTTAAAACAGTAGCTTTTATGGCTTTTTGAAAGAAAATGGACATTATTTTCCAGCAATGAAGATTCTTGTTAGTATGGCTAGTGTATAAGATGTTCTTAGCCTTTGTATTACACCTTTTGTTTAGTTGAACTTTGGTTAATAGACTATGGACGCATAAGTTACAGACTTTTTAATAGTTATTCTAACTGTAGTGTTTTAATATAGTTAATAAAAATTCAGTTCATTTTTGAGTCACCTTTCTTTGTCAACGTTGCTTATATCACTGCATTTAGTGTTTCTATTTAGACTCTAAATATTTATGATCTGCATTTTTTCTCAAGGTCAATTTCTATTAGAAAGACTTTGTTTATTGTAATTATGAGGCTGCTAAGTTTGTATATACTGAGACATTTTAAAGTAAAATAGCTTCCAAAGTATTGGCGTATCTGAACTGAGTATAGAATTTGGATTTGGGATTTTCTGCTATAAAAGCAAGTTGGTACACATGTTGTTTCTCTACCTTTTCTTAGTTTTAAAATGCAGAATTACTCAGTTGAAGTTTAACTTTGTTTACAATAATATTTTTAAAGGATCTTGATTAGGTTCATTTTATTAAGTAAAAATAGTTTCATGTTGAAGAGCTTCCTTTCCATTGATCACAAAGAATATTGACATTTGTTATTCATTGATCCATTGATCCATTTCTGATAACATAGGATTTGGAAAGTTAAATTAGTATTCACAGAGTTAACTCAGCGAACATGGCTGTTTCTTTGAGAACATCTTATTTAAACTGAATTCAGATCTTTATAATAATCCCTTTCTTCTGTACTCAAAGTGGTCTTTCTCAGCCAGGCGTTGTGGCATACACCTGGAGCCCCAACTATTTGGGAGATCTAGGTGGGAGGGTTTCTTGAGCCCAGGGGCTTGAGACTACAGTGAGTTTTGACTCTGCGACTGAACTCGAGCCTGGGACACAGAGTGAGGTTCCATCTTTAAAAAATACTAAAACATAAAAACTGGGCTTTCTTCCTATTGGTTCTATAAACTTTACCTTTTTGTATCCAGCATCCAGCTGGCTAGTTCACTCTCACAAGCATGTGGCTACCTTCTTCTTGCCCCCAACCAGTTCTGTGCAGGCTGTCACGTTTTAATTGCCTTTATTCATATCACTTGCATCATCATGTACCATATTTTTCAATATGATAGCACATTAATGACATTTGATGAGCATTTACTAATACTGTATATAGTGTGATGGTCGGTATAGATTGTATACATTGCCTTTCTATCCCCCAAAAATTCTTCGTTTAATCATGAAAGAAAAACAACTTGTCTCCATTTGCACTCTCCGCTTCCTGAGGTATCTCTGAGGATTAGTCTTGATTGTGCCTGTACTTTCACAGATGCTCACTCCACGCACCGGGACTCCCAACACAGCGTCACTACTGCCGCCCTCAGGGTCCTGCACGTTCTCGGGCACAGTTGCCCAATATTGCTAGAAATCGGTATCTTAATGTCTCAGTTATTGGTTAATTGCCTTTTTTCCTTTTACATTATTTTTCTTTGGAATTTCTGCCACAGTAATATTTTGACTTCTTTTTACTTTCCTTACCCATCTTTCTCTAGCTCCTTGAATGTTTCCACTTACTCCTTGTATGTTTTCTAAGGAGGTGTCCTCATCATCCTCTTTGGAGAAAGGGCATTACAAAGAGCCTTAAACTGTCACCTTGATGGAGTTGACTCCATTTCATGTTCTCAGAAACACTACACTTCCTTTTCTCTGCTCCATGTCCCAACCTCCTCCTCCAGATGGGCGTCTGCATCTGCTGTCAGCATGAGAAACTTGACATACTTAAAGCTTAACTTACTTCCCTTTCTGATACCAGTTTCTAGTCTTTTCCAGTCTTATCTTCAATTATCTTCTGATTCATTTTCTAAAACCTTCGCTGTGGCTGATGCCTGTAGTCCCAGGACTTGGGAAGCCAAGGCAAGCAGATCACCCGAGCTCACGAGTTTGAGACGAGCCAGAGCGAGAGTGAGACCCCGTCTCTAAAAGTAGCCAGGTGTTGTGGTAGGCGCCTGTGGTCCCAGCTACTTGGGAGGCTGAGACAAGACACTTGAGCCTAAGAGTTAGAGGTTGGTATGAGCTATGACACCACAGAACTCTGCCGAAGGTGACAAAGTAAGACTCCGTCTCAAAAAAATTAAATAAATGAAACCTTCCTTGGCTTCCTCCTCTTCTATCCTCTTTCCCTGTTTTGTCTTTCATTTGCTTTTTTCTACGGTTCATCCTTTGTGGATGCTTTGCACAGCTTCTCTCTGCTCATTTCCAAACACCTTCTCCAGAGTTGCCAAGACAGGTCTCCCTACAACACAGCAGTTAGGTCTTCCTGGAACCCCTGGATGGGTCCCTTTGGTCACTGCCTACTACCTGTGTCCTCAGCCTGGCATCAGGGATGTGGCCCCCTCCAAGGGCTTCCTGTTTGCTTTTACACTTCTCGTTGCCAACAGGTTTCATCCAGCATTGACCACTCTCTATTTCTTAAATAAATTAATTTTTTCCCTACTTTTAAAAATGTTTCTCCTTTCACATGGAAAACTAACTCTAAACCATGCTCCTGTGAAATCATTTTTTACCTGTCAACTCCCTACCCTCTTACTGGCCTCAGTTAGCACTGCTACCTTTTCTCTTTTACCACAAATGCGCTCTAATTCACTTGGAGGTTGAAGAAATTGCTTCATTGGCAAGACTGCCGCTCTCCTCCCGCACACTTCCCCGAGCCCCCGGAAGCTCTGGTCTAGATGGGCACCGTGGGTACATGCAGAAGTGCTGTCTTTCCTGGTTCGCATTCCTTCACAGCAGTGTAGGAACTTTATTAGGTCATTTTATTTCTTTTTTTTTAATACTCCCAGAATATCTGACATCAAGATTGCTTCAGAGGCTTGTACAGGATGTGCCCTGTACAAGGATGTTATCGAGGGTGGGCTTGAACTTGGAGCAAAGTCCTAGAGGCGACGCCTTTTGTTGTTCTGTACACTTGCGGAAGCCCTGTCTCCTGTTCCGAGGCCGGTACTCGTGTAATGAGTTAGTGGGAGACCTTACGCACAGCGTCCTGGCTGCCTTTGTCCTCCTCCCTCTGCTGTGCTCTGCAGACGCCTTTTTGTCACACCCTCTCCTCTGTGCAGTCGGTGTCGTCTCCTCCTGCCACCACTTTCTGAAAGGTTTCTCTGGTTCCCCGTCTGCTCTGACTCTGCTTGTCCGTAACAAATTGTAGTGATAAGTTTCCTTTGCAGTTTTAATGTTGTCATGTAACTGTTTATATCTAAACCTTTCTTCAGACTCTCTCTTAAATCCAGGTAATCAAAACTACATACCATCTGTTAATTTCTTTTCACACCTACATCACCTTAATTTTTACTTCTTTAAATTTGTCATTAGATGCTTGTCTTTACCTTGTCATTTTCTCAGATCTGAGATTTAGGTTGTGTTTGTTCTTATATTTTAGGTCGTTCTTCCCTCTTTCCCATAGACGATGGCTTGCTGGATGATGGTCACAGCGATCAAGTTGGTGTTTTAAATTCACCCACATGCTATTCAGCTCATCAAAACGGAGAGCGAATAGAACGCTTCTCTCGCAAGGTGTTCGTGGGTGGGCTTCCTCCAGACATCGATGAAGGTGAGGTGGAAATAGGGGCTTTAACAGAAACCACAAAGTTAAAAATGTTAAAAATGGAGTATAAATGTGAATAGGGCATGGAATGTTTTACCTCTTAGAGGTTTTCAGAGTTAGAATGGGCAGTCATCTCTTTAAGTATTCCCTCGCTTTATTGAAATATGGGCGTAATGGATTATATCTTATAATGCATGCTGTTACTGTGAGCATTTTTATAAGATTATCCTGATCTAGGTCATAGCCCACTTTTTTTTTTTTAATTACAGAACATATCTGAATATATAACACTTGAAACTTTTTGTGTAACTATAACACAGACACACACACACACACACACTATACAGCTCAAATAAATGGAAGCAACCAGGAAACCATATCTGTTTCGCATGACAGTCAGAAGTTTAATTTCTTTAAGGGTAAATGTGCTCTTGGAATCAAGTAAGAAAGAGGCTGTAAAACCCAAAAATGAAATGGAAACATGAATAGGAAGTACAGATCATACAAAGGTTAATAAAAATGTGTGAAAATGACCATGTGTGATAAATGTAACAAAAGAAAGATAACTCGAGATAAAGAGCCAAAATACTGAAACTACGTGCGGTTGTGGGAAATCTGTCGCTGATTCATCACTGATAGGGAAGATACTGCTGCGTTTTGGAAGTTTTTCAGTTGTGATTCAGATACCCACAAACTTCTTCTAAGTAATAATCAATACACTGAGATTTCCATATAATGACAAAACTCAGAACACAGCGCTGCATTTGACCTGTGTGGGCTTCAGTGAAACAACTTCACACGGGTCAGACTCCGGTTCATGTCTTGTCATACAGATCTTTTTTGCAGCAATAAAGGATTTTACTTATAAAGCAGTAAAAGATCCTTTTGTTTAATTTAATGTTAATATAATATCACCATTTTTATCAAGACAGTGCTATTTACAGTTTGGTATACTATAAAGCCACTAGTATCCATAGAATGTTATATAAGATTTTTACATTTACGTGGGATTGATTATTCCAGCCATTTTGCTGCTTAAAAATGAATTTATTTTGACTGTGATATTTAAGAGATTGTACATATCTTTTTAATAAAGGTATTAGACTTATTCTCAGTGTTTGTGTTCTAATTTATCTTAGGGTATTTCACACTTTTTAATTAATTTTCAAAGTAACTTTAAAATACAGGCTATCTTAGTATCAGTGGTTAAAACAAGTTCCTAATGATACAATCTTTTGGAAGGAAGTATGGAGAAACCTCAACCTAGACCTCCCGTTTGATCCTGCAGTCCCATTACTGGACATCTATCCAGAAGGGAAAAAAAAAACTTTTATTTTAAAGTCTCTTGTATTAGACTATTTATCACAGCTCGATTTATAATCACCAAAATGTGGAAATAGCCTAAATGCCCCTGAACCCAGGAATGGATTGGCAAGCTGTGGTATATGTATATCACAGAATACTATTTAGCCATTAAGAAAAATGGGGATTTTTACAGCATTTGTACTAACCTGGATGGAGGTGGAACACGTTATTCTTAGTGAAGCATCATAGGAATGGAGAAACTTGAATCCTATGTATTCAACTTTGATATGAGGACAATTAATGACACTGTGGGGGTGGGGGAAGGGGAGAACAGAGAGAGAGAGAAGGAGCGAGGGGATGGGGAAAAGCAAAAAAAAATATATATATAGTGTCTAATTCTCACATATGTTGGATTTAATTTTGACCAGACTACTTTATTTGAACAGTAACTTTTAATTCAACTTGTTAATATGTTGTTTAGGATATTACATCTACATTTATAAGTGAAATACGTTTGTAATTTCCCTTTATAATAACATATTTTTCTAATTTTAATATCAGATATATCCAGATGTAGTAGAATGAATTTGAAGGATTTCTTCTTTTTTCTATTGTCTATAAGATTTATCATAATCTGTTTTTTGAAAATTCCTAATGCATATGATTACACTTTGTTCAGATGAGATAACTGCCAGCTTCAGAAGATTCGGGCCTTTGGTAGTTGATTGGCCTCATAAGGCAGAAAGCAAGTCCTATTTCCCACCAAAAGGTAAGGGCTTTTATTGTTACTGTGTGCCAGGAAATTGGTTGTACACATACAAGAGCAAAAGAAACAACTACTTGCTTTGATTTCTTTGATTTCTGCTAATTTTTTTTCTTTAGCATTGAAAGGAGCATATCTGTATATAAACATTAATAGAGTAATTTAAGCCAATAGCTGAGGTTGAGGGAAGCCAAATGATCCTGAAAACTGTTGTAATTTTATTTTAAACCCATCAGAAATCATAAGAGACTTGCTATACTTTCACTGTAATGATTTGGTAATGATTTTATAGACCCAAACCAACAAAAGTTTGAATATTTTCTGTGTCTAAAGTATTCTTCAAAGTATCTTGGTACAGACATATGAAAAAGTTATCTTTCTACCTAGTGAAATTAAGATATATGATTTATTTGTATTTTATAAAATATATATCTATGAATAGTTTATATAGTACAAGATTTTACGTAAGTGTTCTAGACAACGGTAGATAACGGCAGAGCAGTATAAGTCATACCAGTTCTGTTGGTAAATAAATAGTGACTGATGAAGTTTATTCTCTAACCCCCCCAGTTACATAGAGTGTTAGACTGTGAGAATAGTTAGTTGTGTCAGTCACTCATTGCTAGGATGACACTGTGGCTGGTCACCAGAGTGCAGGAGTCACCAATTGGGTGGCCTTCGTGTGCAGGTCCCACTGGAGGCTGCCATGTGTGGGGCGAGCAGATACCCGCTGACCAGCAGAGGAGGGGAAGTAGAGTCAGGCATTAATTCTGTCAGTCACAAGTGCTAATAGCAGATTCTCTGAAGTGAATAAAAGAAAGGGGAAGACTGAAAGACTTTGCTTTGAAATCACTGCGGTATAATTTCAGAAAAGAGATGTACACTATATTTGCAAGCCTGGGTAAATTATCAAGCCTGGAGAAAGGACTCAAATAGATCTTTTAACTGGTCTGATTGGCATTCTGGGAAAAGAAACATGATAGAGAAGTTCCTGGCACCCAGAACTAGCTAAGGGTTCCTGGTGGTGAGTGAGACGGGTCATCTTCACTCTTGTCATTGAGAATTGTAGAGCCTCTCTTACTAGTGAACTAGTCCGTGTAAAGTTTGGGGGAAGTGGAATAATGCAGTGCCTTCTTTGTGCTTTTAGATATTATGCTTAGGACTCAGGAACATCTTTGGAGGAGGGATTCTGGATCCCAGGCCTCGGAGATTCTGATTAAAGCCATTTACCTCTTTCCATATACTCTGGAGTTTACTGAACTTGAAGGCCCTAAATCCTTGGTTTAAAGAGAAAAAATTAGCTCCACACAGTTTGAGATGTTCATTTATAAGCTTAGTTTTAAGCTATTTTTATTCATAGTTTAAGTATCTTGTTCTTTTATGATGTTTATCATCAATGTTTAGTAAAACTGCCTGTTAGTTTCTGGTCTTCCTGCCTAACCTCCCATCCTTCCAGCCTGCAGACTCCAGCTGTCCTCCCAACCCTCGCCAGTCTCTTCCCACAGCCCAGGTGTGCAGTCTTGGGAAACTCACCTGGTAGTGCTCTCTGCCTTACTCCCCTGTGGAAATCCTTCAGTGGTTTCTGTTATTTTTAGGATAAAGGCAAAAGTGCCTTTGCCTTGCCTGGCCTCCCCTCTCTCTGGCTTATCTCGTACCACCGCTTCCTGTTCCTCCCCCTCATTGCCCCACACTGGCCTTGTTCTCCCCAGCCCCAAGGCTCCTTCCTGTGCGTCTTCATCTTCTTGCCCCCTACCTGTCAGAGTAAGATGATCAGGGAAGACCTTGAGGACCCACCTGGAGCCGTCCCCTTCGCCTGCTGTGGGCCCTCCTGTCTCCCGAGCTGTCTAGCTGTCATGACACTTAATGACAGCTGTAGTATCGCATTTTTATGACTTTACAAATGTGTGATTACTTTATGAATGGCAGTTCTTCATATAAAACTGTATCTTTATTCACCTTTGTGAACATTTGTACCTTTGTATTCTTGATAATTCACAGATTGGTAATTACCTAATAATGATATGAACAATAAAAAATACAGTGGGATAGAGAAATTATTTTGATCTCAAGCAGGTGGGAGGAAAGCTTCACTGAGAATTTTTGGATTAAATCTAAAATGTACTGTGTAATTTAGATAGATAAAGAGTTGAACAGAGTTGTAGGCAGGAATTGCAGTATAATATTGGAAAGGAATTAGACATGAGGTGGGTGGACACAGGGACACAGGTGCTTGTGTCCTTGCGTACACACTTGTTCCTTTGAGAGGACAGTGCCCTCGGATCCTAGAAGGGTGGGTTGGGGCAGGTCTAAGAGTTGCCATTGCTGCTGTTGCTGTTGTCAGTGTGGGTTTTGTGGTTCTTATTTTCTCAAACTAAAATAAAAAAAAATTAGAATTGGAAAGTCATAGATTTTTTATGGTACAATTTTAGTTAATTGCCAAAAGCCAGTTTTCCCAAACCTTTTAAGCATTTTCTATAATTCTACATTTTCTATGGTTTGGAAAATGCTGGTATAGAAATATCCAGTGGGTGCAGCTGCCTTCTAATTAGAGCAGTGACTCAGCCCGTGGATACTGAGCCCCACACACACGTCTCCACTGCAGGGAGGAGCACTCACCTGTGTGATTACTAGCCTGCTTTAATAAATTCTGAAACTACGAGCAGTTTTCGTAAAATGTTTTCAAATCTAAAGGCTTGCATTAGCTAAGTCATAATTTACCTACCATAGTGCTTAGTTTTTCTGAAACTTTCCTTTTTTAATAATAGCAAAAATTTAGTTAAATATTTTAAATGATCTTAATTTTTAATATTAACATTTTATACATTTATATTAATATAAACATTAAACATAAATTTTAAAATCAAGATATCACAAAAATTAGATGTATTAAAAATATTAAATTTAAAATAGTATTTTAGTAAGTTAGTCTTACATCCTCTTAATGATTAATACAACAAAAGAATTATAGTTCTCAGATCTTTAGTTTGTATCAAAATTAGGTCCTTAAAACCAGTTTTTATTTTTTATGCATATTGAAATTGTTCATGGCAATTAAATCTAATGATGCATTTTTTAATTTTCATAATTTTACCTTTGGAAACTTCTGTTTGTATAGGCTGATTTGATGGCTTCAGGGCTTTTCATGTCAATCATATGTTTTATTAAAATTAAGTACTTCTATGTTCATCAGACCTTTGTGGCATAAAGGCCATTCTTCACCTTCGGTAGAGTGCCGTGGCTTCGTACCTCACAGCCACCTCAAACTCTTGGACACAGTGATCCTCTTGCCTCAGCCTACCGAGTAGCTGGGATTACAGGCACCTGACACAACACCCCACTATTACTATAGACGTGGTCTCACACTTGCTCAGGCTGGTCTTGAACTCCTGAGCTTAAGCAGACCACCCGCCTCGGCCTCCCAGAGTTCTGGGATTATAGCACAGCCTCATAAAAGCCATTCTTGACAATAAGCTGTGTTTTTCGAGCTCTGAGCAAACCTGACCTCACATTTCCCGTGGTTTTGGAACAGACATGGTCTGTGTGGCCCTGCTGCATATTGGGAGTAGACTGCGGTGCAGTGCTGGGCCTGTGTCTGCACAGAAGTCTTATCATGGGTAGTGACCAGCCCCTGGGAGTCATCACATAGTAGTAACCTCACAGTATACATGTTAATGTCTTTTTATATGAAGCTGTTGTGTCTGCTGGATACACGACAATTAAGGATGGACCATTAATTGTTCAAAAGGAAGGAGGGAAGGGCATATTTCCCAAGGTATGGGAATCTAAGCAAGAGCTTAGAGCCAAGTTCAAACATAGTCTCTGGACAGTTAGAAAATAGTGTTCCATTGGTCGTCCAGGTTAAGTCTTGATTTTAAAGTTCTGACCCAAGTTTTGTTAAGGAGAGTGATTCATTTCATCCCCCTACCTAGGGTAGCCTTTTTAGTACCATCTGGAAGTTTATGTGAAACTGGAAATTTTCCTTTACTGGAAAAAAAAAAAAGGAAAGGATTTCCTGGGCCTTTCCAAGTGTGCTCTAGAACTTGGATTACCTCGAAGGCAGTATAGTAAACTTTAGCTCCAAATAGACTTGACTGGTTAATTCTGCCAGATTCCTCATGAAACTGCTAGAAGGCCAAGGAGACTGTGGAGCTGACCTGGGTTTGAAATTCTTAGCCATCTACTTGCTATGAGGCTGACTTTGGAGAAATAATTAACTTCTGGTTCCTCAGTTTTTTCTTCCATAAAATTAGAATAATTTCTCATAAACTTGCTGTGAGAATGAAATGAAATAATTCATGTAAAGTTTTAGTGCTTTACCTGATAGTAAGTGCTATTTATAAAGTAGCTTATGGCTTTATTGAGTGTGTGTGTTAGGGCATATTATTGAATACATAGGATATTTTGTTCGCCTATAAAAAGTAGGCCAACAAAAAAAAGTCATCTTCTTTGATAGTTTCGTCTTCTTTTTCAAAAGCGTGGAGTTTTTTTCAATAGTACTGAAGTGTGTGGTGAATTCACTGTAACGTGCCACCTCTTTCTCCTGGCTCTTGCAGGCTATGCGTTCCTTCTCTTCCAAGAGGAGAGCTCCGTTCAGGCGCTAATCGATGCTTGTATTGAGGAGGATGGGAAGCTCTACCTGTGCGTTTCCAGCCCTACCATCAAGGACAAACCAGTAAGTACATGCCACCAAGACGAGCTTTCCCAAAACTGTGTAAATGACAGTTAATGAGGAAAAGAACAATGACGCTATTAATGTTAAGAGTTTAGTCTTTGAACTATTCAGATGATTTATATTATCTAGATCAGAAATTATAGCAATAATTTGTTTCCAAATCCGACTTGCAAATTTTTTAACAAGGAAATGATCACTGTTAGCTTTCACCATTTTTTCTTTCCCCAGTTATCAAGAGAATAAGACCCAATGTAATTTTCTTCATAGGTTCAAATCCGTCCTTGGAATTTAAGTGACAGTGATTTTGTAATGGATGGTTCTCAGCCTTTGGATCCCCGAAAAACAATTTTTGTTGGAGGTGTTCCTAGGCCACTAAGGGCTGGTAAGTAGAATATTAACAAATGTTATTTTCCCAAAAAAAAAAAAATCATTTAAATACGAATTAGTCCACTGAGTAGGCCCTTGGTGGTGATTGTGTCCATAGTGCTGGAGGGAGGGCAGGGCAGGGCAGGGCAGAGGACTCCTGCTCCCACAGTTGCTGCTGCAGAATTCTAAGGCAAATTTTGGGAACCTTCCTTGAAACTCCCAAGTCACTAGAGAATTGTCCAGTGCTCCATCTCCTCTGTCTATAGTAATTTAGTAGCTAACTCCAAGTAGACTCTGTAAGAAGGATTTGATTTTTTAAGTATAACTCTCTATGGTATGAGAATTTGGGATCTGTTTTCTGTGGGGTGATACTGCTATCTGAAGAAGAAATGAGAGTTTTTCTCTCTTATCTGTTTTTTTTTGACTGTTACCTAAAGTAGCACTTTAGATAAAGGAGTGATAAACCTCTGTTTATCAATAACCAGGAACAAGAAGTCTACCAAAAGATGGCATCTAGGAATGTAACATAGATGTAGATGGCCCCGGATAAGCAGGTGGCATGGGACCACATGCCATGTGAAGGGTGTGGACGCTTCCGTCCCTGAGCACCACCTCTTCCAAGTCTGGGAGACCTGTGCTAAAGAACTTGTCATACGTGTCCCTTACAGAACATGATCGGTGCTACCAAAAAAATAAATAAATAAATAAATAACTATAGGTAATAGCAGAACATACAGCCAGGGAACATGGTAGAGTCTGATATCTTGAAGAGACTTGTATTTGAACTGACTTACTGGGATTAAACAGAAAGAGTAGGGTTGGCGATATAGTGTGTTTCAGGGAAAGGGAAACCCTTATGTAAAGGTCTTTAGTGGAGGGAAGCAGGGCATCTTGGAGGGACTGAAAGACGCCCAGATGGCTGGCTAAGGATGTGAGGGGTAAGGGGAAGACTCGAGACAGTATTGGAAAAGTGAACAGAAATCAGATCAAAAGGTATAATGGGCTAATGTGATACTGATGCTCACAGCAAGGAGAAATGATGGAAGAATTGTTAAGCAAAGAAGAGACGGCATATTGACAGTTTTAAAAGGACAATTTGGCTACTGGCTCATGGAGCCAGGAGCAAGGTTGAGAGCAGGTGGAGTAGACCAGTTCAGGCCCCTGCTACTGTGGTCCAGGCAGTGGAAGCTTGGATTAGTAGTGGCAGGGGTGAGAGAGCAAACAAACAGATGTCATAGGTATTTGTGAATCTCAGTTTTCAGTCTTAGGTAGATAGTGGTGCCATCTGCAGAGGTCTAAGGAACTCTGGATGAGTGAGTTGAGCCAAGGTTGTGGTCTTGGTTTTGAACACAAGTATATGGCATGATTCAGAACTCCCAAGTACAAATTTCAGCTACAATGTGTTGTATATTGTATCTGTATTACATTCTTTTATCGATAAGAGAATAAGTCTGTCTACTATTTTTAAAAGAAACTGGGAAGATAAGGTTCAAAAGCAAAGAGAGAAAGCTATTGCCATGAACCAGAAGAAGAGTGATATTAGCTTGAAACAGGTGTTAGTGATGGAGGTGAGGAGGTTGGATTCTGGATATGTTTTGAAAGTCAGGCTCATAGGGATGCACATGCAGCGGGAGGGAAAAACCAGCGAGCAAGAAGCCAGGGATGCTGACTGGACAGCTTCATCCTTCCCACTGCTTCCTGACCATGTCAGCAGAAACTCAGTGGAGCAGGCGCCCAGGGAGGGGAAGAGGATGAGCTCTGCTGTTAACACAGCGGGTGGTGCAGTGTCTGTTGAAGGTCAGCGTAAGTTGCCAAGGTGACAGTTGCACATGTGAGTCCGGAATCCAGGGGAGAAGTTTAGACTGGAGATAGGAAAATAGGAGCTTGACGGCAGGCAGAGGGCATTTAAAGCCTGGTACTGCCCTGGGATGAAGTCGCCAGAGTCGGGAGTGTAGCTGGAGGCTCAAGGACTGTTAGGGTACTCGGACATTGAGGATAAACTATCAAGAAAGACTGAAAAGAATTTGTCCATGAGGTAGGAGGAAAATTAGTAGAATAATATCCTGGGAGCCAGATGGAGACAGTATTTCAAAGAGAAGGAAGGGAGCGACTGTCCAGTGCTGCTTGCAGGTGGATTGACCACTGGGTTTGGCAGTGGGAGAAGTGAGCTTGGCGTGAGCCATTAAAATGGAAACGTGGTGTGACAGTCACATTATAAAGGGTTGACTAAAGATGGGGGAGAATGATTAGGGAGTACCAGAAAAGATTTTGAGGAATTTGGCTGTAAAGGAGAACAGAGAAATGAAGTAATTGCTGAGCAGGAGAAATAGGATTATGAGATTTTGCTTCGTTAAAGATGGGACAGATCACAGTATACTTAGGAATGAGCCAGAATAAGTGGAAAACTGATAGTGCAGAGAAGGGGAGGGAGGAATTGCCAACCCAGTCGCCTTTCCTAGCGATGGCGTGTGGAATCTAGAGCACACGTGAGTAGAGGGAGTTAGAAGAGAGCACCGAGATTTCTCTGTCGTTCTGGGACAGAGCATAGAAAATGCTGTGGGTTCAGTGTTGGCAGGTGGTTGGGGGTGGCAGTGGTGAGTATAACTTCGTGTGTTTTTAACTGCTGTCTGCTGTCCCTCTCCTGGTCCAATGTCAGCATCCTATTGACCTTTTCTTTTTAAGAAAACATACTTCGAAATTGTTGATTTACTGTGTTCTCTTATTTGACACGACCCTCTTTTCTTTTTGAAGTGGAGCTTGCTATGATCATGGACCGGCTGTATGGCGGAGTTTGTTACGCAGGAATTGATACGGATCCTGAGCTAAAGTACCCAAAAGGTGCTGGGCGGGTGGCTTTCTCCAATCAGCAGAGCTACATCGCGGCCATCAGTGCGCGGTTTGTCCAGCTCCAGCACGGCGATATCGATAAACGTGTAAGTTGCAATTTGGAAATCACTTATGTCCTATAATAAGGTGAGGGAATTAATATAATTCAAGCACTGTTTTTTAATACTACTTTTAACTCTCAGAGTTAATGATTGGTGTATCAAAATGTCCTTAAAGTGTAAGATTCTTGAGCACACTTTAAGATAAAATGTTTTTTAAAAGTCATTTTACATCCCTGTCAAAATGTTAACAGTCACTAAGGTCTAATTGTCCTTCTGACCAGGGAGGCGGAAGACTGGGATCGAACCCCATGTCGACCGGTTGCTCTGTAGTCATGGGCAGATTAACACTCTCTGTGCTGCTCTTTCCTTATTTTTAAGCAGAAAACAATAACAATATGTTGGTTATTTTGAGTATTAAATTCACACATATATAAGTACTGAAAACAGAACTTGGCACAGAGTGCTATTTACATGTTGGTTTTTATTTATCATAAAATCTAAAACAAAATCACATAGTGCGTATCTTCCTAAAATAACTGACCTAAACTTTAAAATGTTTGTTCTTAGTAGTATGACTTAGGTCATTACAACAAGAGGTTTTTTTTTTCCACAATAAGAACTTTTAAGAAGGCCTAGGAATGATAACTGGAAGCCACCCCGTTGAATAATTCTAAATACTGATAACCGTCTAAAGAGGGGAAAAGGACGAACAAAACTCATGTATTTTTTACAAATCTATTTCATACTAAAATCTGTGAATAGTTCCTATACACAGCCAAGCAGTATTCTAAAATTATGTTTATATTTATAGCACAGCTAAGATATACTGAGAATGTACAGCAAATGAATTTTTATTATCTAAATTAGATACAACTTAAGTGGATACTTATTTCTCCAGTGCAACAGTTTCTAGAAGCCTCATATGAGACTTTTTTTTTTTTTTAACTTTAAAAGACTATTGAGGGGGGCAGGAAAGCTGGTTAACTGATTAAATAGACCACAGACAGTAGAGGCGGTGGTCAGTGTAGTTTCCATCCCATTTAGAAAGGGGGCTCAGCATCGGTCCAGTTCACAAATGCTCAGTGGCTCTTTCATTTGCATTGCTATTTAAAATGTTGCCAAACAAAAGTTGTATCTAAGAGGAAGGCCTTTCCATAGAGTCAGATATGCACACCTAGCCTTTTTGAACTGGTGTGAACCTTAGATTCCTGTAGTCCTGTGGTTCTCAACCTCAGCTGCACATTAGTCACCTGGGTGGGAACTTAGAAAGTCTTGACATCTGGGTGTCAACCTAGATTCTGCTGTAATTGGTCTGAGATGCAGCCAGGGCTGCAGGAGAGCCTGAACTCCCCAAGGGGTACAGATGCACAGCCATAGACAAGGACACCATCTCCTCTGACTGACCCCGCCGTCTATGGAGAGGAAGCTGTTTACATAGTCTATCATTATGCTTCTGTAATATGCATGAGTAGAAGGGAAAGAGCATTGCCGTGTTGTGCCTACATAGTTCTTCATTTCCAACATGACAGTGAAGGGCTGACTATTTGGAACAGAGTATTCTTAAAGAGTAGCCAGGATGCAGAGCGGGTGAGTTAAGAAAAACATGCCTTCTGGAACAGGCATTGCAATACCTAGAGACAAGTTTATTTTCTAAGCCTTGTTTTCTAAGGTACAAGATGTTGATCTTTATTTGAAAGATTGAGCCTTAAGTACTTTACAAGTCACTAGTATTGCTTATCCAAAGAACTGTTAAGCCATTGATCTTTATGACTCTCATCTCTCTGATAAGAATATAGTCATTAAACCATAAAAAGATTAAATTTAAATATGTAACTGTCAACTCAGAGATATCTAGGATACCTATTTGGGGAGAATTAGAATCATTTATTCAGCTTAATTTTGGACTCCTGGAGACTGAATTTGCTATCTCTCATAGCTCAGAAACACAACCCCCACAGATGGCTAAGTCCTTGTATTTTTTTAGCATGTTATTCCATGCATTATATAATCCTCTGTAACTTTCAGTAGTTAATGAAGTAAGTGATACTATGTTGAAGTTAGAGAATCATTGATTATTAAGCATTTCATGAGTTACAAATCCAGGTGACAAAACATTACCAATTAGGTCATCTGAGAACGGAAAGGACTTCATCCCAGGAGACAGGACCAGGCGCAGCGTCCAGGAAGCTCCCTGCACATACGAGTGCTAATTGTCAGAAACTGTTAATCAGAAGTAGGTTTGGAATTCAGTTTTCTACCTTTTAAAGTCCGTGAGTTTAAGTTAAGTAGACTAGCTTTATTAAACTAATATCTAGAAGTCATTGTATTGGTAAAATTTTTTTGAACAGTTTTGCCTTAAGAAATTTGTGAGCACCTGGCATTTTATGAGGTAGTGTAACCACCACAGACCCTGGCTTCAGCGTGACAAAGCCAGGACACAGGCCCCATTCACTCCTGTATTCACAGAGTTTCTCCCAGTACCAGGTGTTCTGTGGGGTATTAGGGGCGGAGTGTGGAGTCATTACTGCCGTGCCCGTGCTCATGGCCTTTACAGTCTAGAAAAGTGAAAGCCAGGACTCCTCCTGCTGTCTTGATTGCTCTTTGGGCATAGTAATGCTCTTCTTTGATGATATTGGTAATGAGGACAGTGAGTCAGAAATAGAAGGCTGGTAAAGGGAAGAAAATAGAATCCACAGAGGAAAACGTTGAGAGAGAAAGATTGAGCAAAACATTTTAGAATTTGTGTCAAAGAGTATTTTAAAACTCAAAGACCAATGGAAAAAAGATTAAAAATGTTTTCACTGGCATTACAAATCAATTAAAAGGGGGGAAAACTCGAATAGGAAAATAGGCAAAGATACAGACAATTCAGAAAAGAAAAACGTCCAATGTATATAAAGTGTTTATCCTAACCCTAATCAATGGAATATAAACAGCAAAGTAATTCCTTTGCCTTCCCATCAAATATTTATCTTCCAATTAGTTCTCCTATAGGTTATTTCCAATTTGTTGTGTTCTTTTGACAGATACCTTTATACATTTCTACACACATTCAGAAGCATTTCCGTAGAACTCACTCAGAATAGAAGTTGTTGGGTCATTAGTATTAGTAGTCGTAGAGTTCCTACTTTCCTGTGGGCTACCTCTGCTTTATCTCAAATCCAGCCCTTCACACCACTCAATTTTCTATCCTCTCCTAAGAAACAGTTAAACAAAGATGACAACCTTCGATTCATAAAGTTATTACACGCAAGAAGGCCAAGGTTATTACAGCTAACAGTAGCTAAAACTAAGACTATCTTGCCAAGTGCCAAGCACTATCTCATGCTTTTACGTGCATGATTTGATTCTCCCAACTCTGAGACAGGTGCTATTTATTCTCACTTCACGGAGGTGGAAACTAAGATTGAAGGTTTGTCATTCAGAGCTGACTCCCGTCAAAAGTCTGGGAAAAGTCAGCCCTTCACAGTGGAACTTGGTATCTTACACAGTCACCAGTCTAGGGTGCCCTCAATAAGATCCCCCTCAGTTCTGGTTTATCTGTCTGTGCCAGTTATTTCCAAGCAGACTGTGGTATTCGCTTACCTGGCTTCAGCCGCTCTTAGGGCTCAGCCATGGCACAGGAGGTATTGGAGTGAGGCGGAAATGGGTGAAAACCATTTGCCTCCCATGACGATTTGATATCCCTTCTGTTTCTCACTCAGAATCATTCCTGCCTCTGAAAATACTAACACAGAGGTGTTTCAAAGATGTTACTTCAAGAACAGTAAGGGCACAATGTTTTGCAAATCAATTAGATTTTTATAGATTTTAAAAGATTTTTCTGCCTTTTGAACATAGTAAACACCATTTAGTTTATAGTCCTCTCGAGAAGACATATGGACATAAAGCCACCGATCAAGGGCTCATCATGTAACTCGTAGTGAATTCTGAGGATGAAATGGTGCATATGTGATATTATATACTGTGTAACATTATATTTAAAACAACAATTAGCACAAGAACAAAGTGATTGAATGTTTTTAATTTACTATATGATAAAGCTGCTTCCTTGGGAAACTGCCCACTTTCTCAGCTTTTAATGCCCATCTTTTTCTCTAGACCACTCAACATTTGAAGTAATCACTGAATTTGATTTCTGAAGCAGAGGCTGATGAGCCCTGTTTCCCTTCTTTTCCAGGTGGAGGTGAAGCCATACGTGCTGGATGACCAGATGTGTGACGAGTGCCAGGGCGCACGCTGCGGTGGGAAATTCGCCCCCTTCTTCTGTGCCAACGTCACTTGCCTGCAGTATTACTGTGAGTTCTGTTGGGCGAATATCCACTCTCGTGCGGGACGTGAGTTCCATAAGCCATTGGTGAAGGAAGGTGCTGATCGCCCCCGTCAGATCCACTTCCGCTGGAACTAAGAAGAGCAGATCGGCCTCTGTGTGACAAGGAAGGACAGGTGCATGTGGCGTATGTGTCCAGAGAGACTGACGTGCAGAAGAAGTAAGTGCGTTCTTCTGCTTTCACCCCAGCTACCAACACGTGCATCTTTATCAGCAGCCAAAACACTACAAGCCTCTTGTTTTTCACCAAAACCCTACATCTCAGGCTTACTAATTTTTGTGATATTTTCATGTTAAAATAAAATGTTTTTTTGTATTTTCTCCAAGTTATTTTTATATGTAAAGTTAAAATTAGATGTGAGAATGTTTTGCGTAGGGGCAACACAGTCTGCTGCTAATAGTGGGGGAAGCGTGCACTTATTTCTAAACATGGGTTTTTAACTTCAAGATCTGCCCCAGTAATTTACCAAAGGTAGCAAAATAATAGTGAAGATGGAATATGTCTGCTACA